TGGGTGTGTAACTGCCCCATTGGGAGCAGCAGAGCATATCCAGTGGAAGTTTATCAATAACCTCTAACAGAGTAGTGCCAATGCGGACAGTGGGTTCTTGTGTGTGTGTGTGTGTGTGTGTGTGTGTGTGTGTGTGTGTGTGTGTGTGTGTGTGTGTGTGTGTGTGTGTGTGTGTGTGTGTGTGTGTGTGTGTGTGTGTACTCGCAGCCTGTGTTGGATGACCTTTGATATAAATAGCCTGCCGGCGCTAGCTGTGATGACAGCCGACAGCACGCACCGTTGTGTGAATTTGTTTCCTGAGTAGTGCTGTTCATCGGTTATCCCTCTTGGAACAATGCCTGTATGACTGCCTGCTACCCAGCAACACTCTGGCCTCCAATTTCCTGAATCTGGTCTCAATCGCAAGCACAAACTCAGGTGGCAAACGCAATGTTATTGGTCTGTGATCAATTTTGGCAACCAGAGAATCAAGCAAAGTCCTGGTCAAGGTCAACACATGACTAGTAGGAGAAGCAAAGTATCACCAGGTTGAAATATACACATGATCAATCCTCTTATCACTTTAAATCAAAGTTGAATAGGCCTGTATGAGTGTCTATACCACTCTTGGTACAGTAATATAAAATATTCTCAAATATTATTTTTTTCCTTTAGTTGGTAGGTTGGCCGCATTATCATTGTTTTATTTTGGATCTTGCGAGCCACCAGAAGCTCTACTTTTGACCCAAATGACTCCATTATTTGTTTTACACTGTCCATTCCTCTCTGCTGTACTTCTGACTGTGATTAGGATTGATTAAAGGTCGGGCTGGATGTGAATGATGTTGCAGCTATGCCCAATAGTGCTTTTGTCTGCTTAAACACCACCTTGACTCCGCCACTTAAGACCTAGGTATCACAAATGATCTCAAGAATGTGGCTTTAGGAGCTGTGACACAACTAAGGTGTAGCATTTCAACTCTCACTATTTTAATCTATGTGTTATTAACATAAGCTTTTAAACTTCTCGATGAGAGTGACTCTGGATATTCCTACCGACAGTTATTTGTTTTTTACCTATTCTTTGACAGTAAAGTAAAACTAACTAACTTGAGAAACAACAAAAGTAATACTTGAGCTTTTCTCTAGATTGCTGTTTCTAAATCTTCTCTCTCTGTCATTCTCCTAGATCTGGAGCCCGATGACAACACGTCGTTCTACATCCTGAATGTGGGCCAGCCCCAGTCTATGATCACCAACCACCAGTCTCTTGGCCTGCCTCGTCATGGCATGCAGCCCCACTCCCAGTTCATCAGCTCCTCCCCACGCCTTCACTCACACAGACAAGGATCGGATCCTCCCAGATATGAAGCCCCGGGCTCCAAGTACGGCTCCTCCCCTCTGCTGCCCTCGGCTCCTGTGGAGGCTCCGAAGGCCTTCGAGTGCCCCAGCATCCAGATCACCTCCATCTCCCCCAGCTGCCAGCAGGAGATGGACGCCAATGAGCAGGATCTGAGGGCCAATGGGCCTGATGGGGACTATCATGTGGATAGGCCCCTGTCCAGAGACCACCTGTACCTGCCTCTGGACCACTCGTACCGGGACTCTTCGCTCAGCCCGAGTCCGTGCAGCAGCCTCTCCTCTCGGAGCTGGTTCTCTGACGCCTCCTCCTGTGAATCTTTCTCACACGTCTATGACGATGTTGAATCGGAGCTAAACGAGGCGGCGGCCCGCTTCACCCTCGGCTCCCCTCTGACTTCCCCGGTATGTATCTCCCCTCAAACCTGTGGGGGGGTTTTGGAGGAGCAGCCCAACTGGCAGCACCATCACCCCGCCTTCGTGCACCACTCCCACTCCATCAGCCTGTCACCCCGGACGTCCCCGTGCCACTCGCCACGCACCAGTGTCACCGATGAGAATTGGCTTAGCCCGCGTCCCACCTCTAGGCCCTCCTCACGTCCCACCTCACCCTGTGGGAAGAGGCGCCACTCCAGCGCTGACATCTGCTACCCCGCCTCCTTGTCTCCTCATCACTCACCCTCACCCACACCAGGACCTTCACCCAGGGGCAGCGTGACGGAGGACACATGGATCGGCAGTCCTTCTTTAGGCATGTCTCCCTTCCAGTGCTGTCCATCAGAGGCAGACATCCCGTCCAAGACGAGGAAGACGTCGCAGGACAGAACAGCAATGCAGACTGGGACAGGGGAGATGGGGCTAGATGACCAAGGAAATATGTCTCCTAATCTAGACTCTCCTTCTGACGATGGTCTCCACAGTCTGAAGAAGGACGGGCCCGGGGAACAGTTCCTCTCAGTGCCCTCTCACTTCTCATGGAATAAACCCAAACCTGGTCATACGCCCATATTCAGGTAAGCTTTCTGATTTGTAAGAATATTAGGAGACAAACTGTAGGATTTCACTAAAAACCGTCTTGTCTCAATGTAGCTCCAACAGTCACTTAAGTAAAGGATTCATGCAGATGTAAAGTGGGAGAGGAAGTGACAAAGCATTTGAACTTTTCAAATGTCAGTGAGGACTTTCTCAACTTTTTGAAATAACTTTCTGTTGCAATCGTTTTTTTTCTTTTCTGTTTCCTGTTTGTATTTGTTAAGAGTTGTGCTGACATGTATAGGGGGGCATAATGGATTCTTGATGGATTAACATCCTCAAACTAAGCAGTGTGTTTGACTTATAGTAAAAAAACAAAAGGCAATGTGGCATTAACTGCATCTTGGTCAGTATTTTGTTAATCATTGAGGCAATCTTAAAATCAATCAGTAGGTCAACTAAACAATAGACCTCAGTGATGATTTTATTTGTATAGAGTGTTGCGAGGAGTCATAAATATTGGAAAGTTTGATCTAGGGTGACAAGTGTGATTGCGATGCTGTCAATGAGTATCTAATAGCACGTTGGGTGAATAATAAGCCTTTGATAAAGCAGATACATGTTCAACAGCAAGGGAACTTTGAGCTTTGAACAGTATCACCAGTATTTATCTGACTTAGTTACATCATAGAGTAATACAAGTTGATTAGTTTGTGGCAGGGAACATGGGGACACACAGCACCAACCACTCCAAACAGGCACACAAACACACAGGCAACATATCCACATTAAAGAGTGATTGGTGATTTAAGAAACTCATAATGGAGTATTTTTGGAGAGGAGTCGGCTGTCTGTTCTCCAATGTGTGCAGCAGATGAAGACCTGGCCTTGTTTGTGTGCACTGGCCCCTAGCACTGTAAATCAGCACAGGGCACATATGGCAAGGGGGCCACACACACACACACACACACACACACACACACACACACACACACACACACACACACACACACACAACACAAACCCTTGCTCACATAGACCTAACACTCTCCAGACAATAACAGGGTAACAGAGACGGCTCTATGATGAGTCACCATTTCATATTTGCATCTTTGCCCTTGTTAGTGAAATGTCCTTAGGCCACAGATCAGGGATAGAGCAGCAACTGAGTCATGTCTACATCGCTGTATCATGAGCAAACCAGAAGCTCCTGTTTTTCTTAACTATGCTGTTAATTCCAATAATGACCAAAAAGTATTCCTACATATATTACCGAACCATTAGGGGCTGCCCAATTATTTAAGACGTTATCAGACTCGCAGTATAGACCTATGCAATATCCAGACTTTAAACAAATGCAGCTCTAGAACAATTGCCAAACCTGCCTGAAGCAGTTGCTCACATTGACATAAAAAAAGGGATAGTCTTTTAACAAAATGTAAACATGTATAGTCAGACGGTGTTAGATCTGTGAGTTGAGTAGGTCTGTGTTTTGCTTGTCACCTGCAGCTCCTTTCAAGCTTTTAAACAAATACCATAATTAACCAGGTCAGGCCAGGTCAGAGAAGGTATGAAAGTAGGACAGAGTACTGCCCTGGCCTCTTTTGGAGTTGCCTTTGTGTATGCACATGTGTGTTACTAGTTTGTTGACCAGATGGCTCAGGTGGAATGGGCTGGCTTGGGTTAGGGTGGGTGGAGTTGTGTTCAGGCACTTCGGTGTTCAGTCTCTCTGCAATGAAATATTAACGGCACTCTTATGACTTGGCTCCCAAAAGATTTATTTCAAGTTCCCATGTCATGCTTTTCTGGTTATTACCCGTCCCCTTGTGCGTTATGTAGGATTTTCTGCATGGAAACGGTCTGCAGAGTTACAAACCCTCAAAGTACACCCTGTAGCGAGTAAAACTCTAACACAGAAAAGACCTGTCTATGCTGCCCCAGAACGCCTCGTTGGGGATTTCTCATTTTCCATTGTTTACTTCTTGGGTATAGTGACGTATTTCGGGTACGAGCCGTTACGTTACGCCCGCAAAGCCGTTTTGACCAATCCGCGGACTTCCTCACACACACTCGGCGGGACGTTGCGAGGCTCGCTGCTGCGAGGAGCGGGACACTGTGAGCCGGCTCACTGGTGTGGGGTCGGCGAGACACCGCGGCACCGCGGAACTCAGCCTGGGCACACACACAAACTCACAGCCAGGCTGCGGGTGTGTGTGTGTTTCGCGCTGGGTTTCGCTGTGTCTCGCTGTCTCGCAGACGGCCACTGGGCTCACAGGGAGGGGGGGGGGCAGGAGCTCCAACAAGCCGTTTAGGACAGAGAGTGAATACACATACTATACAGAGATGCTGTATGAGAAACCAATGTGAGTTTGGAAAATTGCACAATATTGATTTATTTTAGTATAACTCAACAATGGAATTATGATCAGTAGAAATGGCCATGACATGGGACCTTTAAAGAAAACGACGGTTTTACTCAGTGGCAAATACAGTATGTGCATCTCCAGTCAGTAAGATAGAATTTAGTAGCAGGAAAAAATAACAATGACCACTGCATCACTGGGATAATAAAAAATAATTGTAATAGGCTTTCATTATAAAGCTGCAGGACGACAATATAAACAGGGCTTCCATTGTTATGCACAATCCATGTTTACAATGCATTGAAATATGTAACTAGGTGTCATTTCACGACTTAAAATATGACTGGTTGGTGCAACATGAAGGCTGCAGGATTCATTGGATGCACAGGCTGATGGTGGGACAATGGAGAAGAAATGTAGAGAAGGGTATTGGGTTGTGGGACAGTGATCAGAGTGGGAGCCCCTACAGCATGGCTCAGACATTTGAGAAAGGTTATGCTGTGTCAGGAGGACATAGGCCACCGCTTCTGCTCTGCTCCGTCACAAAGCTCATATTTCCTCTGTCCTCCTCTACTCCTGTCACCGGAGCAGCCATGCTAACCCACACTTCATTGGTGGTTATGTCATAGTAACCGGGAGAAAAACTGAATAAGGATGCCTTTATACACTGTTTTAGATCTTAGATAGAGCAGCTGGCATGTGATCACAGCTATTTGTTGACTATTGACAGAACAGGCTAAACATTTTACCATCACGGTTACTCAGAGCAGATAATCATACTGTCATAACTTTGTTTTGAAGCAGGATATGACTGTTTGTGATATACACCCGTGGGGCAACAAAGTATTTAGTCAGCCACCAATTGTGCAAGTTCTCCCACTTAAAAAGATGGCCTGTAATTTTCATCCTAGGTATACCTCAACTATGAGAGACAAAAGGAGAAAAAAAAATCCAGAAAATCACATTGTCTGATTTTTAAAGAATTTATTTGCAAATTATGGTGGAAATAATGGTGTTATGGTGTTTGTTTGGTCACCTACAAACAAACAAGATTTCTGGCTCTCACAGACCTGTAACTTCTTCTTTAAGAGCCTCCTCTGTCCTCCACTTGTTAACTGTATTAATGGCACCTGTTTGAACTCGTTATCAGTATAAAAGACACCTGTCCACAACCTCAAACAGTCACACTCCAAACTCCACTATGGCCAAGACCAAAGAGCTGTCAAAGGACACCAGAAACAAAATTGTAGACCTGCACCAGGCTGGGAAGACTGAATCTGCAATAGGTAAGCAGCTTGGTGTGAAGAAATCAACTGTGGGAGCAATTATTAGAAAATGGAAGACATACAAGACCACTGATAATCTCCCTCGATCTGGGGATCCACGCAAGATCTCACCCCGTGGGGTCAAAATGATCACAAGAACGGTGAGCAAAAATCCCAGAACCACACGGGGGGACCTAGTCAATGACCTGCAGAGAGCTGGGACCAAAGTAACAAAGGCTACCATCAGTAACACACTACGCCGCCAGGGACTCAAAATCCTG